CACTGTGATCAGTAAAGGCTTTACCACATTGATTACATTCATAAGGTTTTTCTCCAGTATGTCTCCTTTTATGCATTTTAAGATAACTGTGCTGAGCAAAGGCTTTACCACACTGATTACATTCATAGGGTTTCTCTCCGGTATGTATCCTTTTATGTGTTTGAAGATGACTGTAAAGAGTAAAGGCTTTAGCACACTGATTACATTCATAGGGTTTCTCTCCGGTATGTATCCTTTTATGTGTTTGAAGATGACTGTAAAGAGTAAAGGCTTTAGCACACTGATTACATTCATAGGGTTTCTCTCCGGTATGTATCCTTTTATGTGTTTGAAGATGACTGTAAAGAGTAAAGGCTTTAGCACACTGATTACATTCATAGGGCTTCTCTCCAGTATGTGTCCTTTTATGCATTCGAAGAGTACTGTGCTGAGAAAAGGTTTTACCACACTGATTACATTCATAGGGTTTCTCTCCTGTATGTGTCCTTTTATGCATTTGAAGAGTACTTTTCTGAGAAAAGGCTTTTCCACACTGATTACATTTATAGGGTTTCTCTCCAGTATGTCTTCTTTTATGCGTTTGCAGGTGAGTGTGCTGAGAAAAGGCTTTACCACACTGATCACATTCATAGGGTTTCTCCCCAGTATGTGTCCTCTTATGAGTTTGAAGATGACTGTAACGACCAAAGGCTTTCCCACACTGATTACATTCATAGGGTTTCTCGCCATTATGTGTTCTTTTGTGCCTTTGAAAATGGCTGTTATATTCAAAGGCATTAAGACATTGTGTATACACAGAAGGCTTCAATCTAGTTTGGCTTCTTTCATGTCTGCAAGGAAAATGGGCAAGTAGAAATGCTTTACCATATTCCCTAAAATGTTAAATCTTGATATCTGTGTAAATTAACATTACAATTTGTTGCAACTGTGAAGAAGAATCAGATCTTATATTCTTATCATTGTGATAACACTCATGTTTTCCCCTACATTAAGAGTTGTTTTGCAACTTTGAAGATAACAGTTTAGGTATAATCATGTAATATATGTTTCTAAATTTTAGAACCTTTTTCTATAGGAGATTTTTTTGCATATTGAAAAGGACTGGAAAAATTCAGAACTTTATCACCATTATTGAATTTTGAAATTTTCTTACACTTTGAGTCATGCTACATTTGCTAATAAACTGGAACAAACAGAATTAAGTACACATTCCTACAGCTATTGGGCTTTTCTGCAGAGTGAACTTGTTGGTGTACTAGCAACAAAGCAGGAAAATAAATTACCTCTAAACATGAATCAAATTCAACAAGTTTGCTTAAATTGGGGGTTTTTACATATTTTTAAGTATTCTGTGAGAGTGGTATATTATGTCCTCCATATATATACCTTTGCTCATTTGGCTTGTATCCTGACTAATACATGATATACTCTTAAAGGAAATTTACAAAGAAGAAGCTTCTACATTTAGTTCAGTTTAACTTTCTGTTCCTCATAGACATCTACTAGAGGTATTCAGGATTCTCTGCAATAACTGCAACTTTACTCTTGACAATAACTGCCCCTATCCCTAACCTTAAAAAAGTAACAACAAGTATATGAGTAAAACTAAATTATCTATGGAGTATTTTCTTAATGGAAGGTTTGGAAATATGCTTATCACATTAACCACGTGTATACCATTAGTGATGTAGTTAGTAAGAAATAAATGGAATTATATTTCTACAGCATAGCTCTCATGGTGTGATTATTCAAGTGGTAGTTTCTCTTGAGGCATTGTTTCCTGACTTCTTTCTTAAAATATTGTTTTCCAAATGAAGTTCACCTACCTGAAATTGAGTTATATGGTGTGGTGCGAATTTAATAATCATCACTGCAGTTTAAGCTGTGCTTAATTACACTGTTGTTTGTGTTTCAAAATTTAGGACACATTTCAATTTCTTCAGTTACAATTTCTATGAAATTGTAAATGAAAATTACCTTTCATGTTTTGTAGAACTTATGAAATTGTAAATGAAAATTACCTTTCATGTCTTGTAGAACTTGTAGAATATTCTTCAATATTATTGTCTTCCCAACTGTATCCTAAAACATAGCACCAGAATATATATTTATTATTGAAAAATGTGCAAAATTTCAGTTACTGTTTTCAATGAACTTTAGAACTTCAACTGATTCATTTACCACATTCTTTTTTCTCTCTCAATAAAATTAAAGAACATCAAAAACCAAGGAACAGTTGTCCTATTATTTTAAAATATGCAGTAAAATGCACTCTTACCTATATCATTGAGGTTCTTGTAGGTATCCAGCATCACATCTTTGTATAGATTCTTCTGAGAAATATCCAGCAAAGTCCATTCTTGCCAAGTGAAGTCGATATGCACATCATTATAGGTTATGGCATTCTAAAATATAACATTCATGTGTGCAACTGAAAGCATTATACTGACAATATTCTAAATGCACATTTCTGTAGAACATTATTTTAGGATATGCAGGATACAGAGAAAAGCAACTGATGAAATTTGCCAATGAAAGGCAGAACAGTATTTCAACAATCCTGCTTCACTGAAATGTCAGACAGACACAGTAGTCCTGTAGACTGAAGATGGGTACCCAATATTGCAAAAAAACTTTGGGTGACTGTCCAGGCAGGCAGGTGTCTCTTTCATTTGTAAAGTCTGGAAAGTTACCTGCAGTGCACTTCCTCTTTACTTAGCTAGTAATGTTTTTTTCTTTTGTCTTGGATGTTATTGAAGACTAGTTGTAGTTTTTCTTTAATTTTTGAAGAAATGTATTAATAGAACTGTGAG